TTTATTAAGTAAATATAATATAATTAAACTTTTATATATTTTAAGTAATTATTATAATCATATTTTATTTTTTATAAATGCATTTATTTTTTATTTTTTTTTTCTTAAAGATATTTACGGACCGAAAACAGTCTGGATATAGTTTGAGAATGGCACCGGTTGGAGCTGGAACTTTTAAAAGTTACAAGGAAGTCCACAATATTCGAACCGAAAACGGTCTGGATATAGTTTGAGAATTTCACCGGTTGGAGTTGGAACTTTTAAAAGTTACAAGCAAGTCCACAATATTCGGACCGAAAACGGTCTGGATATAGTTTGAGAATGGCATCGGTTGGAGCTAGAACTTTTAAAAGTTACAAGCAAGTCCACTATATTCGGACCGAAAACGGTTTAGATATAGTTTGAGAATGGCGCCGGTTGGAGATGGAACTTTTAAAAGTTACAAGCAAGTCCACAATATTCGGACCAAAAACGGTCTGGATATAGTTGCAATTTTTAAAAGTTTCTGCTTGGTCCTCTAGATTCGGACCGATCCCGGTCCGTATATATTTGCTATGCCTCTTTCCCCCACATTTCCAGACCGTTTTCGGTTCGAACATATTTTATTATTTTATTATATTATTTTTTTGGGACCAATTTAGGTCCGCTATTTCAATTTTTAAATAACCATTTATATTTCATACTGAAATATACGGACCGATTTCGGTCCTTATATTATATATATATGGACCGATTTCATGTTGGTCTGTATATTATATTTTTTCATACCAGGTTTTTTTAGATCAATTATAGGGACCAATATCGGTCCGGATATATATTCAGACCGATTTGCAATATATCCGGACCGATATTTCGGTCTGAATAACTGATTCCTGCAGTAGTGGTGGCATCATGAATTGCCCAATGGTCCCAACGAAGTTTTGTTGGTTCTGGTGAAGAAACTGGAAATTGTATATTTTTGGCAATGTCCCCAGCCATATGAAATCCCATCTTTGGGGAGGTGCTTAAGTGTAGCCGACAAAAACAACATCTGCACAGGATTTGGTGAGTTCCCCAGGCCCTATGCAAGATTTTGGAAGATTTTGCAAGCAGATAATAATCTTTTACAATAGTTTCCAAGGCTGTGGAACTTGTGTAGCCACCCTTACATTAAATATGGCTGCAAGTGGCTGATGGTGACCAAGACAACACCTCTAGTTAGTTTCTGGCAGGATTTCCAGTCTTCGGTTAGCATCAAACGGCACTGTTCTGGGAATCAAGTTCATTTCCATGCTGTTGCTGCCTAGCATCTTTTTGGCAAAGTCGGGCAGCATCACCAGCTCCAAGCTTTGTTGGTGCGGATGCCTTGCTTCGCCAGATGGGCAGCGTTCATCCATCCATGCCTGCCAAGCCACTACTCCCATAATTTATCTCGAATAATCCCAATGAGCTTGGATTCATGGGCTTGTGTTTATCTGTAGTAACAACAAGGCACATGTGAATATATGTTCAGATATTTAAGAATAAGAAACATAGAGGCATATGCAGCGAAGAAGGAAACTCCCTCATGTGTTGAAGGGGACTATGTGAATGAATATTCGCTGCTCTCATTTGCTTACTAGCCATGGCCGGCATTGGTATATTGCTGTTGTGCATGGCTGGCATTGCACCAAAATGAGGAATAAATGGTATGGGTGTGCATTGCGATATCATTGTCCCGAGCCAAGCTTCGTTGGCCGGAGATATCTGCTGACACGTAAGACATACAAATATGTGTTATGAGTCGAGATTACCAGCGATTGGTAATTTTGTTCCTTTGTGTAGAAGAATGACAATGTGCATGACCTCCGACCATGTTATGTATGTATTGTGGGGTCAACCATGCATAGCCTTCATATAGCTAGAGGGACAACAATGGCTAGCTTTGTCCATGGTTAGATCGTGAACTATGTGGAATTGAAAGAGCACTCCCACTAATCTGCCAAGCCGCGAAGGAGTAAATCTCATTAAACCAGACTCCGCCATAGCGATGAATATGTATAGAGACAGATGGAGTTGTCTCCATGGAAGGGGGATGCCAGCCACATCCATGGCCTCCAATACGACAAGGTGTGATACTATTGACAAATGTTGGCTCTTCTTGCCATACCCACACCGTTAGAAGGTGGTCTTGGTTGTTGTTGCCCGCCGGGCACCGCACCACCATGCATGGGCAACCACCAAGGGATCGTCGGCCACTACTTGATGGATTTTTATCGCTAGAGGGTAGCCATCCCATCTGATTATAGGGTTGCAACTGTTACTGTCTCACGCTAATCGTACCAAGTTGCACTGACTTTTTGTCTATTTTTGAGAGCTAGTGAGATAGAATATGTAGAAATGTGTAGCCTTTTGTCCATTGCTAGAGGCTAAATGAGATAATAAATCTGACCTTTTGTCTATCGTTGAGAGTTGTGTAGATATAATAAGATTAGCCCGTTGTCCATTGATGGGAACCATGCAGCAAAATAGGCTCTTTATCCATTGTTGGGAGCCAAAGTATGTAGCAGTAAACATTGTTGCAGAGGATATGACCGTCAAAAATGCCTAGCCATGTTGTGTAGTTAATGTAGCTGTGTTTGGCCATGTGTAAGGGAATGCTGCTGAAGTAAAACATGTTTGTATCGTTACTAACGAAGTGGGTAAATGCCACTCCTGGCGATATATAAGAGAATAATGTTGAATACTACTTCTAGCGATGTTGATTCCATTGTAGCAATTAGTAGAAAATAGAAATTGCACGTCTAATGTGGGAAGTGAAAGTTGTGAGCCCTTGTTGATGTGGATCCGCACACGTCATTGGTGATGTAACCATATAAACTCATCCCTCAACAATAGTTATAGTTTTAAATTTTTTATTTTTATTTTTAAATTTTAAATAATCAAAATTAACAATAAAAAATCAAAATTAAAAGTTAAAATTATCAACTTATTAGATATAAAATTTTAAAACAAATACTCTAAACTCCGAACTTAATTAATTTATAAAATTATTTAATTTTCTTATAAAATTTCTATATTTTTAAAAACAAAAATACAAAACTTAAAACCATAACCTTAGTAAACAGAGAAATCCATGATGAATTGTGCCAAATGCAATCGCAATTCAGTTTCACCATTCTATTTTGTTGTCATGTAGCAATTACATTTTATATCCAAACCAATGATATGGTTATGGGCACAAATTTTTTGTCTAAAAATTATTGGTCAATGTAAATTGAATAATAAAAACTCTTAAATAATGAACAAATCTATATATATATAAAATACTATCCTATGCATTAAATAGGATATGCATTTATATATACGTATATAATATAAAATAATAAATAATATATTTTTATTTATTATTTATTATAAATTTATTATATAATTATATAATACAAATAACAAATTATGACTAATTAATTTCTCAACCGTAGCTAAAGATAATTTAGATGAATAGTATCCTCAAACATTAATTAGCCCTAAATTTTGTCATTTAATATTAATTATGAAAGAATAAATTATGTAAATAAATCTATTTAATAATATGAGTTCAATCTTTTTATCTTCTCATATTTTTTGTTTTTTACTTCTTATCTTTATATTCTCAATTATTTTATCATTATTAGTTTTCATTACATACATAACAAAATGTAATGTGTTAAAATGAAGGAAGATGAATAGATGCCTAAACTTTATGAAGAATAAAAGTATAGGATTGTAATGTATAACATAATAATTATTTATGCGGTTACAATTTTGTTTTCTTCTTCTTCATTGTGTACAATTGAGAAATTTCATTCTATCTTATAATACATTGATTAGATATTAAATATTTTTATTTTTATTTTAAAAGAGAAATATACGTTTTATTAAAAAAATAAAAGATTGCATTAAATACAAAATAGTATTTCTTTATGCCTTTCCATCTTTCTACCCACCTATATATAAACCCTCACTTTTCTCTACACAAATATATTATATTCTCCTCTTTATTTCTTCAATTTCTTTTTATTAATATGATGTAATATCTGAAAATTTTGTGATATTTTAGCATTTAAATAAGGGTTTTTGTGAGAGAAAATATTGTTTTGGGGTAAATAACTGAAATTTCAAAGTACAGGGACTTAAAAGAGAAAAAGATTTGGATAAGGATCAGCTATTTTTCCTTCTTTCTTCCCCAGCCATTTTGCGTTTCTGCTCTTCTTTTCTTCCCCCTGCACCGAGCAAGGAAGCCCAGCCACCGACGCACCTCCCTTTTGAAAAACCGGTAAGGAAACTTGATTTTTTCTTGCTTTTCTTGTTCAAGAACCAGATTTGGAGCTTAGAAACCTCCCCCCCTGTAGAGAAATTCCAGATCTGCTCGGTTTCTCCCCCTCCCCTGTCCGTGAGCTGCAGCTTGTGATGCGATTTTTGGGCTTTTTCCGGTAAGCAACAACCATGATTTCCTCTTTTCTTCCTTGAATTGGTTTGGGTTTACTCCAATTCCTCTTGGTTCCCCCAATTTTCGGTAGATTTCCTGAATTCTCCCCAAATTGCCGCCGGCCTTTCCTCAACCCGTCAGCACCAATTTTGCTTGCTAGAAAATTTGTCGTATGTGGCAGCTTCTCTAAGTCCAAAATTTACCCATTAGTTGTTGAAAATTTGTCTGTTAAAATTGCTGCCCTATGCTGTCCGAAAATCTGTTGAAAATGGGGATAAATTTCGGTAGTATTAGAGCATAATTAAGCTTAATTCATGTATAAATTGCTTGAGTTGGCTGCTGTGATTTTGGAGGAAAATCCCGAGTGTTTTAGCCCCTGTTTTTGCCAAAGCCGTGCTCTTCCCTTTTGTAGTGGGATTGGGACAAACCAAATTGGTGAAATTTGGCTTTAAAACCTCTTGTTTAAGAGATTTTTGGATATTATGATTTTATTTAAAAAATTGACTTTGGGTAGATATACGGTTTTGAATAAAAGTGAGTTATATTATGGTTGAATTTCGTGTGAAGCTCATTGGTTAGGAAATTTGCAAGGTTATGCTAATAATCTAGCAAAGTCTGAATGTATTTATTTGGAATATTAGGTGCTGTTATGGCTTAGAGCACTGGGATTGAGTCTTCGGTATTACGGATTTAAAGTAAGTAAATTAAGGTAACGCCCTTTGATTTTAAAAGTATATTTTAACTTGTTTCTGAAGTGGTGGCAGGACTAAACCCGTTTTATACAAAAATGAGCATAATGGATTTGAAATAAGATGATTATTCTTTTTATTGATTTGAGCATGTCTCCTTGGAATTTACTTAACTACCCTGATAAACTGAGAATTTTGTAAATTTTGATTTTTTTTCTGTAATTTCCATGTTCATATGGAAATTTTTCAGTTTATTTCTGAAATTTGAGATTGATTGTGAATTTCGGATTTTAGTGTAAATCTTGCTTGTTTTGTCTCTGATATGGTCATATTATTCGTGTGCTCGCTAGTGGGAGGTTTATAAACGTTAGCACATGTCGACATGTTACTGATAAAATCGGTTCGTTTTTGTTATCTTGCTAGTGGGATTATACACTAGTAAATCGTGTGCTTGCCAGTGGGAGGTTTATAACAATGGTCGTGACCTATAGAGGAGACGTTTATTTCGTTTTCGTACTCGTACCTGTTTTTCGTGATTATACTGGTTGACATGTTATAAGTTTAATTACAGGCTATCCATATTTACTTACTGAGTTATCTCATAGTTTTTCCTTGTCTACCATTTCAGGAAGCGGAGTCAAGGATGGGGAAAAACGAGGGGAGTGACGAGTTAGAAGGCTAGCCATTTTGTAAATTGAACATGGATTTTAGATATATATCATGATCTTGTAAGTAAGATTTTAATTGGAGATTTTATAAATTCATTTAATGGATTGTTAGTTTACAAGAGATTTGACCTTGAGATTTTGAGCTTAAGTCGTGTTGGACAGAGAATTATTTTGAAATATCTGATTTAAGTTATTGGATTGTCATATGTGAATTGGATAAGTTCCGAGTCTTGTGCATTTGTGGGACCCTTTCACGAGTGTACGGCGTTTGTTACACCTCGGATTTGGGTTCTAGGGCGTGACAAATTTAGTGGTATCAGAGCTTAGGTTTAAATTAAGAGTTTATGATTAAATTAAGCACTTCCAGATTGAGTGGTATCAGAGCTTAGGTTTAATTAAATACTTAGGTTTAATTGAATACCTAGGATTTGTTTAGAACTTGGCTGGCCAGTGGATTTTAGAACCGTGGTGAGATGAGTGATGGGTTACATAAGGGACGATTTTGATTCATGTTGCCTGAATTTTCTAATCCATTGATGAGATGGTAATCTGATTGTTCTTGTTTCCTGCCTTTATACCCTGTGTAGATTTATGAAATTAATCTCGTTCGCCATGTTCTTAAGACCTTGTTTTGAAACTTGGTCATTTTCTGATAGTCTGCATTTATTTAGACTTGTTACTTGAATAGAATTTTTGTATGCTCTTTTGCCACAATTGTGAAATCTTGGGAGTTGCAGAGATCTTTTGTTATTGATCTTGTTGGTTTCTACAGCATAGCTGGTTGAGAAATTTGCTGTGTTTGTCACATGACCAGTGGAAGATGGGCAACCCTCTACTTTGTAAGAGATTCAAGGCTATTTTAGCAAATATTGTGTGTTTTCTAGATGCATTTTAGGAGCTGGATAACTTGGTAATTTCGCTGCTCATTATCTTTCTGAAAGTCTTATAGTGAAATTTCACTTTTTCTAATTGGAGCTTCATGGTCTTTTCATGTGGCTCATTTTTCCATATTGGTTAATCAAAAATAGTGATCAATTCAATTGAAATTGCCATGTTTTTGTGAAGATTTGCAAGCTGTCATAAAGTTAAACTCTCTATTGTTGCTAATCTCTACATTCTTGATACTTGGAAACTGCTTGAAACTCTTGAAATCCATCCTGAATCTTTCTTGAGATTGCTTTGTACTTGTTCTTGAAACTAAAATCCAAAGGAAATGGATAATGATTATTGAAATCCTCATTATCTCGATACTTGTCTGAAATTAATTCTTGCACTGTTCTTGGAATCTATTTTGAATTGTCCTTGAAAATCATTCTTGTCTTGACCCTTGCTCTTGTTCAAATTTTGTATATTGCTCTTGCTCAAATCTTGCATATTCTGCTAGTTCTTGTTTTAGTATACCTGTTGATCTTCTTGATTTTGATTTTGTTCATATGGACACCTCTTTAGGAGGGGTGATGATTATTAGAAAATACCTATTTGAGGCATCCTCATTCTTGTCTCTTGCAAGTGTTAATCTCTATATTCTTGATGTCTTAACTTTGACTTGACTCTAGGATGTCTAGGATGACTTGATTGTAAATCTGCTTAGCCTCCATGGGCTACGAGGTGAAGGAGTAGTCTTTGAAGTACTTGATGCCCTAGAGTTTTGTTCCAAGAGAAATGGTTCTTTTATCTGGCTGCTTTGATTTTTGTTTGCCCTTTTAATTAGAAGAATGTAATCTCCTAAGTGTCCTAATCCCCACAATTGATTATTCTGTTAATTAATTCGTGTTACTTGGGGTGCTAGATCTTGACATCCTGATTATATCTGCTCTTGAATCTGTGTTCTGGTTGTCATTATTAAAATCTCTTTTGTGGGCCTAATCCTTGAATTCTATTGCTTGTTTCATGGTTAACTCTTGTCTCTCAATTTTGACTGCTTGGTTAAATTTGATCTTGATTCTTGATGAATGCCGTTTTGTTGCTGAATTTTTTGAGGCATTCTACCTTGCACTCTTATATTCCAGTATTCTTCCAAGCAGTCATATTTTCCACTGATTTCATTCTGGTACTATTCTGGAAATTTCACATGTCATTTGATGGGTCTAGCTTTTAACTCTTGTTAATTGCTAAAATTTGTCTCTTGATTCCAGTTGTTTGTTAAACATGATCTTACTTATTGGTTAACCTTGTTTTGTGGCAGAATGTATAAGGCATCCATGCACTTGTTCATTCATTCATGATCCATATATCCATTGGATGCCTATCCGTCTTTGATAAAGTTCAAAATTTTGTTGTACTCGTCTTTAAATCCATGCCATTCTTTGCTAACTCATGGTTGTGTTGGGTTCATAGCGTAACCCCACAACTATCCTTTTGTAGCCTTGGTAGGATTTATTTTATTCCTTGTGCTTCCCCATATCACCCCAGCCTCTAGTAGTTTGTTTCATGGTAAACCCTGTTAAGTAGTTAATGTTCTACTTTTATGATTAGTTGTGGTTTGATATCATAGTGGTGCAATGGAAGCATAGTAGGCTATGTTCTGTTCATGAAGAGTTGGTGAGGCATTTGTTTTGTCTTGGCTTGTGTGAAACCATTCACCAATCTAGATGATCCTCAATTTGAGTTTTGGGGACAAAACTCCTTTTTAGGAGGGGTGAACGTAATATCCCAAAATTTTGTGATATTTTAGCATTTAAGTAAGGGTATTTGTGAGAGAAAATATTGTTTTGCGGCTTAATAACTAAAATTTCCAAGTTCAGGGACTTAAAAGAGAAAAAGATTTGGATAAGGATCAGCTATTTTTCCTTCTTTCTTCCCCAGCCATTTCGCGTTTCTGCTCTTCTTTTCTTCCCCCTGCACTGAGCAAGGAAGCCCAACCACCGACGCACCTCCCTTTGAAAAACCAGTAAGGAAACTTGATTTTTTCTTGCTTTTCTTGTTCAAGAACGAGATTTGGAGCTTAGAAACCTCCCCCCTACAGAGAAATTCCAAATCTGCTCGGTTTCTCCCCCTCCCCTGTCCGTGAGCTGTAGCTTGTGATGCGATTTTTGGGCTTTTTCCAGTAAACAACAGCCAAGATTTCCTCTTTTCTTCCTTGAATTGGTTTGGGTTTACTCCAATTCCTCTTGGTTCTCCCAATTTTTGGTAGATTTCTTGAATTCTCCCCAAATTGCCGCCAGCCTTTCCCCAACCCGCTAGCTCCAATTTTGCTTGCTGGAAAAATTGTGGTATGTGGCAGCTTCTCTCAGTCCAAATTTTACCCATTAGTTGCTGAAAATTTGTCTGTTAAAATTTCTGCCCTATGCTGTCCGAAAATCTGTTGAAAATGGGGATGAATTTCGGTAGTATTAGAGCATAATTAAGCTTAATTCATGTATAAATTGCTTGAGTTGGCTGCTATGATTTTGGAGGAAAATCTCAAGTGTTTTAGACCTTGTTTTTGCCAAAGCCGTGCTCTTCCCTTTTGCCGTGGGATTGGGAAAAACCAAATTGGTGAAATTTGACTTTAAAACCTTTTGTTTAAGAGATTTTTGGATATTATGATTTTATTTTAAAATATTTGGACTGTGGGTAGATATACGTTTTGAATAAAAGTGAGTTATATTATGGTTGAATTTCGTGTGAAGCTCATTGGTTAGGAAATTTGCAAGGTTGTGCTAATAATTCTAGCAAAGTCTGAATGTATTTATTTGGAATATTAGGTGCTGTTATGGCTTAGAGCACTAGGATTGAGTTTTCAGTATTATGGATTTAAGGTAAGTAAATTATGGTAATGCCCTTCGATTTTAAAAGTATATTTTAACTTGTTTTTGAAGTGGTGGAGGGATTAAACCCGTTTTATACAAAAATGAGCATGATTGATTTGAAATAAGATTATTATTCTTTTTATTGATTTGAGTATGCCTCCTTGGAATTTACTTAACTGCCTTGATAAACTGAGAATTTTGTAAATTCTGATTTTTTTTTGTAATTTCCATGTTCACATGGAAATTTTCCAATTTATTTCTGAAATTTGAGATTGATTGTGAATTTCAGATTTTAGTGTAAATCTTGCCTGTTTTGTCTCCGATATGGTCATGTTATTCGTGTGCCCACTAGTGGGAGGTTTATAAACGCTAGCACATATCGACATGTTACTGATAGAACCGGTTCGTTTCTGTTATCCTGCTAGTGGGATTATACACTAGTAAATCGTGTGCTTGCCAGTGGGAGGTTTATAACACTGGCCGTGACCTATAGAGGAGACGTCTATTTCGTTTCCGTACTCGTACCTGTTTTTTGTGATTATATTGGTTGGCATGCTATAAGTTTAATTATGGGCTATCCATATTTACTTACTGAGTTATCTCATAGTTTTTCCTTGTCCACCATTTCAGGAAGCGGAGTCAAGGATGGGGAAAAACGAGGGGAGTGATGAGTTAGAAGGCTAGCTATTTTGTAAATTGAACATGGATTTTAGATATAGATCATGATCTTGTAAGTAAGATTTTAATTGGAGATTTTATAAATTCATTTAATGGATTGTTAGTTTACAAGAGATTTGACCTTGAGATTTTGAGC